GTGTGTGTGTGTGTGTGTGTGTGTGTGTGTGTGTGTGTGTGTGTGTGAGATACTGTACGTCTTGTGCTTTTGGACGTCTGCTGTTGCTTGTTCAAACCAAGCCACCGCACCACTTAAAAGAGCAGGAACACAATCATGTACACACTCTCACATGGACCACATTCCCTGGCTGCTTAATCAGTTCAATTGCTATTACCTGTGGCTGAACAGTCTTAAAGCTAAACCTATCAAGAGGCTCAGTGGAGTGTTAACAAACCCACAGGACACTCCCAGCCCTCTCCCCTCCCCTCCGCCTCCACCCCCTTCATCCCTCTCCTTAATGCCTTGGTAATAGCGACAATTAGCCAATCCGCTCCATTGGTTAGATGGCTAAGCTCGTGCCCTGTGGCCCATTAATGGTGCGCTGAGTTAATATGGACGGAATGGAGAATGTTGGGCCTGATTGGATTTGAATCTTAGCCAGTGGAGGTTTTTTTTTTTAAAGGTGCGTTTGAATGATGGAAAAAGCATGGCGGGGGAGTTACTGACTGTATTTGTTTTCGCTTTAATCGTTTTGGGGAATATTCAGTGTAGTGGGGGTGGCCACACATCTGGCGAGCTAACGAAGACGAGCAGAAGCAAGTGGAAGTAATTTTGGAAATTGTATAATTTACAATAGAATAGAGCTAATTTAAATTGCACTTGTCAAAACCAGTCATTGCAAAGTGCTGTACAAAAAGACAATATACAAATGCAATAAGAAAGAAATGTAAACAGTGATATTAAGACCAGGTAACAATGTTAGGCTGCCCATTATATCCCAACAAGTCTTCTAAATAAGTTTTTTATCGGTGCTATAGAATTGTAATAACCTGATCAGATCAAACTGAGGCTAAATGATGTGTAACTAGTTTTCAGCATCAGCTGTACAGTAGCGGGACTGCAGGCCTGATCAGAAACCCATTACCAAGTGCCATTACCAGAAACTGAAACTCCTCTGGAACTGAAATCTGTGTTTGTTGTTTACAACAGTACGAGGGGACATTATCCGTTGTGGTTGAATCATATCTGTAAAGTACATATTTACCTTGTCGGGGTCGTTTTCAAGTCCATTACATGAAAACTTTTCATTATCTTGAAAAAGTCTTGAAAGCGGATGGTTTTCATCCAGCAGCAGCAGCAGCAGCATTGAGCATCCCGTCCTCATCACCGGAGGGGATTTCCTGCTTGCGATGGGTCTGAATGCAGCCGAGGGGACGGCGGTGGTCAGCAGAGGTCATGACTGCAGCCTCTTCAGCAGACTGGCTCTGAAAATGCCACGCTCATTACGGCACTAATACCCTTTACAATGCTGTCGTCTTCAGATAGAGAGTCATCGCACACACACACACACACACACACACACGGATAGATGAAGAGGAGGATTGTTTTCCGGAGCTGCTGTCCTCAGCAGTTTCTCAGGGACTTCCTGTTGTTAAATCTTTGGGTGCGCTTGTTTTGAGTTCTTGTCTGAAGTTCTGGTTGAGAGAGGAGCTTTGTGTTTGGCCAGATAACTTTGCCCTCCAGACAGTGAACGCTCAGGCAGTGTGTGTGTGTGTGTGTGTGTTTGTGTGTGTGTGTGTGTGTGTGTGTGTGTGTGTGTGTGTGTGTGTGT